TCGGCCAATCAGCGCCAAGGAGGAAAGAGTTCAGGAAGAACTCTTGTTCTTCTTTGGATCCGGTATGCGTCAGGTGAAATACCCTATTGGCGTGTCGGCCGCGTCTGCGCCGCACCAAAAGGCGGGCGTGCGGCCTCTTATACACGCTCACGTGCTCGCACACGCACACACACGCACGCACCGGCCGCGCCTACACGCGCGCGCGCTGAGGCGGGTATCACATGGCCTGCCGACCTGACCACACGTCTCAAAGGCACCGCCAGTCCTCCGTCTTCCGTAATATTCACTCGCCTCGCTGGGCATCAAGAGGCGCGCCCGGCTGCCAGTGTGGCTGCTGGAGGGAGGCTCCAGGAGGCTGCTGGAGGCTGCAGGAGGCTGCCGGAGGAGGCTTCTGGATGTTCATGGAGTAAGCTGCAGGAGGTAGCTGGAGCGGGCTGCCGCCGGGCCGGGGGCTTCTGGAAACGGCTGCTGGGAGAATGTTAGAGCAGGAAGTCTTCTGAGGGCTGCTCTGGAGGCTTCTGGAGGCTGCTGGAGGCTGCTGGAGGCTGCTGGAGGCTTTTGGATCAAACTGCTGCATCAGAGGCGGCTGGAGCTGGCCAGGGCGGCTGGAGCTGGCCAGGGCGGCTGGAGTCGTGACAAGTTCCATCGAGTGCGAGAGACAGAGATCCAGTGGCGAGAGAGAAAGAGATAAGTGACTGCTGGAGCCAGTAGTGGTCATAGTGGCGTAGGCGTAGGATTCGTGACTTCAACTCGATCAGTTCATCGACGCGAAAGAATGCCGTTCAGTTGTTATTCCTCTGCTTCCCGTCCCCGGACGACGGGATTTAGAAACGATGCGACGGATATACTGTCAAAAACCTGTCGCGATAGCCGCCAAAACACGCAGAGAAAGGGGCGCGATCCCGGTGATTGCTTCATCGAGACGGGGCGTGGTTAGGTGCGGCTGGAGAGGCCGGAGTGGAGAGGATAGAGAGGAGAGGCTGGAGAGGCGGTGGTGTTTGGCGGGCGCGTGATAAGTGCTCCAGTCCCCGCCCCATCTTCGCCCCCTTC